GGTTTACTAATGTCATAAATCCAGTTGTGAAACCTTTGGGTGCTAATGGCAGGAGTTATGCCAATGCACTTTAGAATTTCAGCTTTGAGAAGCATATAATCCTGGGCCTGGTCAAAGGGCAAATCTTCATAGGCTTTCTGGCATTCCCCACTCAGACATGGAGCTAGAAGCCCCACCCATTGGTCTGATGACCACCTTTCCTCGAAAGTGGTGAGATAAGCCTCCACATCATCTGCCTCTGTCATCTTATGCAGGAAGTCAGTTGCTCGGATACGGGATCCCCTTTCTCTAGAGGGGTGCCTTGCAGATGGCAATATCACTCTCTGCAAAACCTCAGCAAGGACTGCTCTATCCTCCTGCTGGGCATCCTTCAGGTTCCTAACCTGTGCAGCCAGTAAATGGTTGGATTCTTGTTGTACAGCAGTTGCCTGTACCAGAGTCTTCACCAGTTCCTCCATCTTAGCACCAATCAGATAGTCTTAAAGGCACAGTGCTACTTATTTGTTTAGCAGGTCTGCCAAACAAAAGTTCTCAATAAGCATACTAACAGATGACTGGCACACCCACAGACCCTCAATGTGCTAATATGCCCACATTCTCCACCATATTGTGATCCTGTATAGCAATTAGCATGGTCCTCTAGGGTAAAAACATGCACAGTATTTTGTTTTAATATAAGTTCAGTCACTTTATTTGGAAAATTCACACAAGAGGCAGTATCAGGATCAACACCAAAGAAATAATAATGTAACAAAGCCCTGCAAACAAAATCCTAGCTCGTCTGAGCAATTACCAACATCCAATTTCCCTTTCTAGCGAGAATTAAACTTAAACAAAATACCGGTTTCACCAACCTTGTTTATTAGCAACTCTCTGCATTCCAGTGCTTAGTCAGCCTGCTGCTTCCAGCCCACAAAGAAGGAAAAATTAAAAAAGTCTCCTCTACCTGTTTACCAGGGAGGGTTCTATTTCTCCTTCTGCAGCGGATTACATGCAGCTGAGCAATGGGAAACAATCCAAAACCCTGGCCTGGACCTTATTTCTCTCAGTTGTATATAAACTGAGTGGAGCACCGGCCCGCCCTACTCTCCAAATGCTCCACCCCAGGGGCCCATAACTAAACATTAATTTGTGTTGCATACAATACATACAACGCATACTCCCCCGTTCTGAAGATAGAGAGAATAAAAACAGCCTCACATACCACACCATTTACTTCATCACAATATATATATATATATATATATATATATTCCAAAACTCTTGAACTCCAACTTAAAGTATATATAGTACCTGGTGCTCTGGTCACATCAGGTAATATTGTACAAAAATACTGGCACTCCAGGATTTGGTATGTGAATCTTCTTTATTCTAGTAGATCTAAGTGGTGAACATTTCAGCCCCTAATCGGAGCTTTCATCAGGACATAAAAACATACATACAGTAAACAGCTTTTATATAGATAATAAAAGAGGGGGTACTCAACAAATCAGCTGTTCGCCATTAGTCTGATTGCCCGGTGTGGTCCGGATGCCTGGGCGCATGTGCAGAAGCTCAGGAGCTGTCACTACGTCTACATATGGAGGAGGAGTTCAGAGAGCTTTTCCAGCCGCGTCAAGTAACTGGGGCAACTCACAGATAATGTCACGACAGTGACCCCTTCACGCAGAGTGTAACCCAAAAGGAGACGTATACCGATCCTTAGAGTGGCCAGGCTTAACGTCCGAGAATAGTCAAAAGGATAGCCGAAGGTCAATGGAGTAGAGAAGACGGAATAAACGAGAATTACCAATCCAAAATTCGGGAAACCAGAGAGGAGAGTAGTCAGAGAGGAAGCCAAGGGTCAAAAATACCAGAAAGACAAACAGGAGTAAAAGTAGCACTAGGGGAACCAAATACAGAACCACACTAGGGCACTAGGGAAAGGACAGGGGCGCCCTTATATAGTGAGTGGTGTTCAGCTTTAAGACCACGCCCCCAAAAAGTCCGGGAGCGTGGCAGTGTTTGAATTTTCGTGGCAAAACCCAGATGACGTCGGCGCGCCGGGTCATAAGAGGGGCTTTGCCGCGAGCGGCCAGCGTCAGACAGGCTGCTCCGCCTCCCGGAAGCAGCCGGGGAGATCGCTGCGCGGCGTGGGTCCAGAGGAGACAGGTAAGTTATCCTTACAGTACCCCCCCCCTCGAGAATCGCCCCCAGGGCGGGGAGGACTCAGCTTGCGAGTACGACGCCTAGTAAAGGAACAAACCAGACGAGGGGTGTGTACATCTGAGGCATCCACCCACGACCGTTCCTTAGGGCCGTACACTTTCCAATCCAATAGATACTGGAGACGACCTTTAGAAATACGAGAGTCCAAAATAGATTTCACTTCGTATTCATTTTGACTATCTACGAGTGAGGAAGGAGGTCTTGAGGACCTTCGAGTATAACGGTTACAAATTAAATGTTTAAGGAGAGAAACATGAAAGGAATTGGGTATCCTCATACAAGCTTGCAAATCCAGGCGGTAACAGACAGGATTAATACATTAGAGGATTTTGAAAGGACCAATAAAACGGGGAGTGAATTTCATAGAGGGGACTTTTAATCTAATATTGCGTGTACTTAACCATACTCTATCCCCCACTATTCGGAGCGTTTTTTCGCTGATTGTCCGCTTTACATTTTTGAGTGTCCCTCTTTTGAGATAAGATACGTTTGACCCCTATCCAAGTTTCTTTCATAATCTAAATAGCGCAGTCAACACTTGGCACTGCAGTGGGTGAAAAGGAACTCGGAAGAGTAATATGGTCAAAGCCATAATTTATATAAAAGGGACTATGTTGTGTAGTTTCATGAACTCCGTTATTATGGGCAAACTCAGCCCACGGAAGTAATTCTCATCTTGGTGATCGGAGGTGAACTGTTCGAGTGACTGATTCATCCTTTCTGTAACCCCATTAGATTGGGGATGATATGAAGAGTGAGATTAAGCCTGATACCCAATTGATTACAGAATGCTCTCCAAAACCTGGAAATAAATTGTGGACCTCTGTCCGAAACTATATCCACGGGTATACCGTGTAACCGAACTACCTCCCTTATGAACACCGTGGCCAGTTCGGAGGATGAAGGCAGTTTAATTAAAGGGACAAGATGGGTCATTTTGGAAAATCTGTCGATGATATTTAGAATTACCCGGTGGTTTTTGGAAGGGGGTAGATCCACTATGAAATCCATGGCTATACTAGACCAGGGTTTATCGGGAATAGGCAAAGGCATGAGGAGACCTAAAGGGCGACTCTTAGGAGATTTATTAGAGGAACAGATGTTACAGGCTAAAACTAATTCTCGGACATCTTTTTTGTAAGAGGGCCACCAAAACTGTTTTTCGAGTAATGATTCCGTCTTATGGATACCGGGATGACCTGCAATCTTAGAGTCGTGTACTAAGGATAGGACTTGTCTTCTGTAGTTTAAAGGTACATATAATTTTCCCTGAGGAATAGTGAGGGAGTTGTGATCCTGGTATTTGGATAGGATTTCCATTATTTCAGAAGAGACTTTAGCATGAACTGTAGCTACTATGTGTGAGGCAGGAATTATAGAGGATAAATGAGTTATGGGAGGAGAAAGGTGATCATGCTGTCGGGATAGGGCATCCGCTTTGGTATTCTTAGATCCGGGTCTATATGTCACAATGTAGTTAAAGCGTGTCAAAAACAAAGACCAACAAATCTGCCTGTCAGACATTCTTCAGGTGACCCCTCTAATAGATGACGCCATTCCTTGAGTGCGGAAATAATAGCCAACAGTTCTCTATCTCCTATGTCATATCTTCGTTCCGTTTCAGTCAATATTTTTAGAGAAATAACCACAGGGATGTAGGGGTTGATCATTCGAAGATCTCTGGGATAGTACAGCCCCTACCCCTGTCTCGGAGGCATCTACTTCCAATATAAAGGGACGCAAAGGATTAGGATGACTTAATACCGGGGCTGAAGAAAAAGCTATCTTAATTTTCTCAAAGGCATCTTTAGCTTCGGGACGCCATACCATATGGTTCCTATTCTTTTTTTGTCATGGCGGTAATAGGAGTGGAAATAGAGGAAAATCCTTTAATAAACTTTCTATAATAATTGGCAAACCCTAGGAAACGGATGGCTTTTAGTCCAACGGGTAGGGGCCAGTTTAAGATTGCGTCTAGTTTTTTAGGTTCCATTTGAAAGCCCGAACCTGAAATTAAGAATTAAAGAGAATGGAAGCAAGGGGATACACTCAAATAGGGGTTAACCCTTTAGAAACTACCACAGTAGTGAAGTAAAGAGGAAGGAGACAAGGAGTGCCCCTAAGTTAAAATATAGCTTTTAATAGTATAATTTAAAATATTATGTGCTATAAATTGAGAAAAAGATATATAAACAAAAAATATAGTGAGCCGTGACCCCTAAGGGTTAAAATTGAAATTAAATACCCTAGGAAGTTAACCTTTTCTACATCGAACAAACATTTTTCTAGTTTGCAATAGAGTCCGTTTTTCAATAACCTAGATAGGACCAACCTAACGTGTTTATGATGTTCATTAATACTCTTAGAGTAGATGAGTATGTCATCCAAATAAACAACAACAAACATTTGTAAATAATCCCTTAATACATCGTTTATAAAATCTTGAAAGACTGCAGGAGCGTTGCATAAGCCGAAGGGCATAACCCTGTATTGATAATGGCCATAGTGAGTATTGAAAGCAGTCTTCCACTCATGTCCCTTTTTAATTCTAACCAAATTATATGCTCCCCGTAAGTCTAACTTGGTGAATATGGTAGCTCCCTTCAACCTGTCGAAAAGTTCAGTTATAAGCGGGATGGGATAAGTGTTTTGTATGGTTATTTTGTTTAACCCCCTATAGTCAATACAAGGCCTCAAATCTGATTTTTAGTCGGTTCTCTCACACCTCACCCCTCTGCCAGTCCTTACATTGGCTTCCTGTGTGCTATAGGAGTCAATTCAAGGCACTAACTCACACCTATAAAGCACTGAACAACTCTAGCCCCTCTTATATCTCCTCACAGATCCATAGGTATGTCCCTTCTCGGTCTCTCCGCTCTGCCCGTGACCACCTCCTGTCCGTTGTCCGCACCCGTACGGCCAACTCGCGCTTGCAGGACTTCTCGCGGGCAGCTCCCTTCCTATGGAATAGCCTGCCTCCCGCCATCAGACTCTCCCCTAGTCTTGCATCTTTTAAGAAGTGCCTTAAAACCCATCTCTTTAGGAAATCTTATGGCCTCCAAGACTAATCCCTACCTCACATACCTGTCTCTTGCCCTCTCCTAAAGGGCAGCCCACCTTATTTGATTGCAAATTCCTGTCCTACTGTGTTTTACACCCCACCTCCTATAGAATGTAAGCTCAATTGAGCAGGGTCCTCTTCAACCTATTGTTCCTGTAAGTTTATTTGTAACTGTCCTATTTATAGTTAAATCCCCTCACATAATATTGTAAAGCGCTATGGAATCTGTTGGCGCTATATAAATGGCAATAATAATAATAATAATAAATCTCCCTCCTTTTTAGAAACGAAGAAAAAACCGGCTCCAGCCGGGGAGGAAGATTTGGTGATAAAACCCTTTTCAAATTCTCCGTAATGAACTCCTCAAGTACCTTGTTTTTCGGCCACAGAGAGGGGATACACGGTACCCTTAGGAGGCATGGTGCCGGGTAATAAGTCAATAGCGCAGCCGTATGAACGGTGAGGCGGTAATTTTTCTGCTTCCCTTGGTTCAAAGACCGCTTTGAGATCCCAATATTGCTTGGGTATCTGGGTGGTTAAAGGCTTCATGGTAGGAACATTAAGTAGACCGATTGGTTTGACTTGAATAATACACTCTTTAAAACAAAAGACACCCCATTTTATTATCTCCTTTCTTTCCCAGTCTATTAAAGGATTATGCCTGGCGAGCCAAGGAAACCCAAGTATCACGGGAAAGGTGGGGAGTTATGGTTTCTCTATGCAATGTGCCTACAGTCAGCACCAGGGGAATCGTCTGTTGAGTAATAAGAGGGACTGACAATGGTCTTCCATCTATGGCCATCCATCTATGGCCAAGGGTGCGGAATTCTAAGGCATAGTCAACCAATGAGCGAGACCCCTGTCTCATTCGTAAAAGGGTTTTTGCGGCATTAGTTCGTCTCCCAGGGGGGTCGAATGTACTCCTAAAAGCAGCGACAAAGTCTGCATGGTTATAAACCAAGGGGTTGTCATTTTCCTACAAAGGGTTGGCCCAAACTAGTGCTTTGTCCACTAACAGGGTTATAATGTAACCAATTTTTGATCTATCGGTGGGATAAGCTCTAGGATGCAGTTCAAAATTTATGCTGACTTGGTTTAGAAAGCCACGACATCCCTTAGGGTCTCCCCCATAACGAAGAGGAGATGTAGCGTGGGAAGAAGCCCGCCACCCCGCGACCATTTCCATAGGAGATTCCTGGGGTCTATGACCAGGGATATGTTCCTCCGGCTGGAGATGGGCAGTACGGGCTAACAAGGTCTGAACTGCTACAGCGAACTGGTCCATACGATGGTCCAGCTCCTCAAATCTGTTATCAAGAACTGGCCCATGAGGGTTAACACCTGCACGGTCCATGGCCCTAGTGATATGTCACGACAGTGACCCCTTCACGCAGAGTGTAACCCAAAAGGAGACGTATACCGGTCCCTAGAATGGCCGGGCTTAGTGTCCGAGAATAGTCAAAAGGATAGCCGAAGGTCAATGGAGTACAGAAGACGGAATAAACGAGAATTACCAAGCCAAAATTCGGGAAACCAGAGAGGAGAGTAGTCAGAGAGGAAGCCAAGGGTCAAAAATACCAGAAAGACAAACAGGAGTATAAGTAGCACTAAGGGAACCAAATACAGAACCACACTAGGGCGCCGGGGAAAGGACAGGGACGGCCTTATATAGTGAGTGGTGTTTTTTTAAGACCACACCCCCAAAAAGTCCAGGAGCGTGCCCGCGTTTGAATTTTCACAGCAAAACCCAGATGACGTCAGCGCGCCAGCGTCAGACAGGCTGCTCCGCCTCCCGGAAGCAGCTGGGGAGATCGCCGCGCGGCGTGGGTCCGGAGGAGACAGGTAAGTTATCGTAACATACTAAGACCTAATTGGTTGCACCCACGTGTACAAGCACCGTCGGGAGAGAATCTCCTCTATGCTCACTATAAACAGATAACCTCCAATCTTGTTAATATGCGTCTCCATGGGAACTGGACAACGCCGGCAGAACAGACAAAGCTAGCGCAAAGATAATAAATAATAGAGATAACAATCATCATAGCCACAAATACAATGTATTACACAACTATTATCCTATAAATAATAGAAAGGATAAGCTCCCAATCAACAATACACAATTATGAAAACATAGCAGTAGTATACTATAATAAAGTACATAGTGTGCAAAAATGAAATTGTGTGATAATATTTATAATGAAAATAGGGTGCAATAAGTGAAAAACTTGCATATAATAATTATACTACTTGTGGATGATATTCAAATAAATATAAAGTGCATAAAGAAAATATACTGGTACTCTGTGTGACTAGCTCAAACTAGAGAGTGTTAAAGAGAGCGCAATATAAAATTTAAAGTGCTTGTCAGTGCATAAAACACCTTTAGACAGGTGCATAGGTACATAAAGTGCAAGTGAGTGCTATCCTTACTGTGACTCTGTACGAATAACGTGACTAATGCATAAGCCACGTTAGACAAGTGCATACATTTATAAAGTGCAGATGGGGGCAGTCCTTATAGTGACTCCATATAAATAAAGTGACTAAGAGTCCCCAGAGATGAATATCAAGAACATGTATAGAAAAATGTGGAATCATGATGGTTGTTAAGTGGGTGCCCTAATATTATATCATAAAGAGAATTTTTGATACAGTAAAATTTGAATTATACCAAAATCACTTGTAAAGAGGCTCAAAATACTGTCTATCGAAGTACAATTTAAGTTGTGTTGTCTGATGTCTGACTTATTTATGGGGATATCAAACATACAGAAGGACTATAATGAGGGAAATAGAATTAATACTTGAGATGTGTATATGAATTATAAAAACACAGAGAAAGGACATTTTTCATTAAGGCCCTTGGGAGACAGTGTTCAACTCTACAATCCAAAATGTTTCTTTTTGTAAAAGAATCGTACCGCTATCTCCACCCCTTGTCGTAATGGGAATGTGGTCTATGGCCACACACCTTAACGAGGAGAGTTGATGTTCTAGAAAATGTCTGGCCACAGGTTTGTCTGACTTGCTATCACGGTATGCCAGTCGGATACTTGATCTATGGCCTCTAATTCTCTCACAGAGTGCTGTTTTACTAATGTAATTAAAGCCACACGGGCATGTGAGCATATAGATAAAAAAATTCTGTACGACAGTGTATTTTATGTTTAATTTTATACACTTTACCCGTGTGGGGATGGTTAAAGATTTTTGATGGGATTATGTGCCCACATGTCACACATCCCAGACATCTTACACAACCAATATTCCTACTGCCATACTTGATGGGATTGTAACAGTGCCTTGGATCTGTGCTGACCAAAAGATCCCTCAAGTTTTTGTTACGTTTATAACAAAACATTGTTTTTTGTTGGTATTCTTTTGGGAGAGAGGTATCAAATTCCAGAATGTTCCAATTCCGACGAATAGATTCTGTAAGTTTAGTGCTTGCAGTGTGAAAACTTCATCTTAACTTATTGAGGATCGGCCGTTTGTAGGTCTAGCCAAGAATTTGTCGTACATAATCTTTAGTTGTTCATGACGTTGTTGTTTCTGGGAGTTATTCCTAAACACTCTTAAAAATTGTGAGAGTGGGAGTGACTCCTTTAGGTGTTTTGGATGGAAGCTTTCATAATGTAGAATTGTATTGTGGTCCGTTGATTTTGTGTACAATCTGTACTCCAATTTATGGTCAATTGGCATGATTTCAATGTCCAGAAATTGTATACATTGGTCGTCAATATTTGATGTCACTTTTATCATAGATGGTAAGTTGTTAACATACTCAGCAAACATTGAAGCTTCCTCCTTGGTGCCCTTCCACAAGATTAAAATGTCATCGATATAACAAAAGTACTTGACTATTTGTTGATCAAAACGTTGTAGAATGTACACTGCTAAAAAAAATAAAGGGAACACAAAAATAACACATCCTAGATCTGAATGAATTAAATACTTTGTTCTTTACATAGCTGAATGTGCTGACAACAAAATCACACAAAAATAAAAAAATGGAAATCAAATTTTTCAACCCATGGAGGTCTGGATTTGGAGTCACACTCAAAATTAAAGTGGAAAAACACACTACAGGCTGATCCAACTTTGATGTAATGTCCTTAAAACAAGTCAAAATGAGGCTCACTAGTGTGTGTGGCCTGTATGACCTCCCTACAACGCCTGTGGACTTGTCACCAGTGGGGTACCTCAGGGATCTGTACTTGGACCCATTCTCTTTAATATTTTTATTAGTGATATTGCAGAAGGTCTTGATGGTAAGGTATGTCTTTTTGCTGATGATACTAAGATATGTAACAGGGTTGATGTTCAGGAGGGATAAGCCAAATGACAAATGATTTAGGTAAACTAGAAAAATGGTCAGAATTGTGGCAACTGACATTTAATGTGGATAAGTGCAAGATAATGCATCTTGGAAGTAAAAACCCAAGGGCAGAGTACAGAATATTTGATAGAGTCCTAACCTCAACATCTGAGGAAAGGGATTTAGGGGTGATTATTTCTGATGACTTAAGGTAGGCAGACAATGTAATAGAGCAGCAGGAAATGCTAGCAGAATGCTTGGTTGTATAGGGAGAGGTATTAGCAGTAGAAAGAGGGAAGTGCTCATGCCATTGTACAGAACACTGGTGAGACCTCACTTGGAGTATTGTACACAGTACTGGAGACCGTATCTTCAGAAGGATATTGATGCCTTAGAGAGGGTTCAGAGAAGGGCTACTAAACTGGTTCATGGATTGCGGGATAAAACTTACCAGGAAAGGTTAAAGGATCTTAACATGTATAGCTTGGAGGAAAGACGAGACAGGGGGGATATGATAGATACATTTAAATATATAAAGGGAATCAACACAGTAAAAGAGGAGACTATTTAAAAGAAGAAAAACTACCACAACAAGAGGACATAGTCTTAAATTAGAG